GTAAAAGTTAACTATAACTGAATAAAAGGAGCCGGCCAAGAGGCCACCTTAACACCAAAAAAAAAAAAAAAAAAACAAAACCAAACAAAACAAAAAATATGTTTTCACATATATTTAGAATAATTTTTGTTTAGATCCACCAAATCTGTAACAAATAATAATGAATAATAAAACATGAATGATGGTTTAATCTGTTGAGTCACAGAATTTTATTTTTCTAAATAAAACTAGTACGTTATGCCCGTAATTGAATGACAAGCTATATGGCATAATTTCAGCCGAAATTTACTGTAATCCCAGTAACTATCCCGTGAATCACGCACGAATCACACGCAGGATCCATGTGTGACACATAAGATTTTTGGAGAAACTGTGATTTAGATGTAGACATGGTTATTAATTTTAATTTTACTAGGAAAACGGGTTCCGTTGGGTTCCAGAGCACCATTTTGTATTTGCAAACACATTTTAATTATTTGCAAGATATTAATAAAAATTCTTATAGTGTAAGCATATTATATGCTTATATGTATATATCTGTTTCAATGAAAGCTAAAGGGCTTTAACTCTGTAAAATCGGCTCTTAGATGCAATTTGACCAATTTAGCACTATGAATTAGGGTAAAATAATGTAACTATATAATTTACATAAAAAATTGATCTCGCTTATTAGATCACAAAAATTTAAACAATTAGTCCTCATTACATAAGGCGCTATAAAAAATACATAAAACATTTTAATTTAAAAAAGTACACATAAAACTTCTAAAACTGATCTGTCCGGATTATGAGAATAAATTAACTAAATTTAAATGTTCATATTAAGTGTGAAATTATTATTTTGCTTTATCTATAAGTTACTTTTTTCAAATATTCGTTCTTGTATCCTCCTTTTTTAATACGTTGAGGTCTCTCAAAAGTAAAGTGATCAAAAATTTGTTAAATTTGATTTATTACTGCACTAAACTCACATATAGCATTTATTTCTATAATTAAACCACTATCGCGAATTTATTTTATTATGAGCGATTAGAATTTATTATGCTGCATCATATATAAGTTGGAGTGCGAATGTCATACTACTAATTGACAATTTCAATGCTGATCAATTGAATGATTGAGAATTTTTTTGCTTATGCTCTTATCCTACACTCGGAACCCACCCGGAATTTTTTTCTCACCTATTGTCTGACCTTAAGTTCCTCCGCTCTGCTCCGGAAATTATTTTTCTTTTTTTAAAATGAATCGATTTTCGGTCTCGGCACGATAAATTTACCGAAATCATTTCGGCAGGAAAGTATTTTTGATGAATGGTCACAGGAAGTTCACCACGAAGATCATAATCTCGAAATGACGGGATATATGGCATTTATAAAATATTAACCCATAGATTACAATCTCAAGAACTATGAAAATTATGACACCGAGATTATGAGTACGTGTTAAGCCCGTTATTAGAATCTGCAATTTCTGCTACCATGCATAACCTCCAATTTTTTTAAATGATACTGCTAAAATAATAGCATGAATGAAGTTCTAGTCCTGCATTACGGTCGAAACTTTGTCAGGCTATTTTAGAGTCACAAAGAAAATGTTTTGTGAAAATTTATTTCCTTGATCTCTCGAGCTACATAACTTTCATAAGAGATAACTGCGAAGATATAAGCGTATATTTAAATATATGTAAACTTTCAAATGAATGTGCAGCACGTACGTACCAGTTAATATAATGTAATATAATATTATTCTTACATATTCTCACGCGTAGAACTCTTTATTTCACATAATATGTTTAGGTAGGGATGGATCAGTCCTGGAAAGACCGAATAAGGATCGGTCTTTTTAACCAGTCCCATGATTAACTGGTCTTCATAAATAGCTAATTAAAAATATTAAAAAATTATTTGACAATCACTTATTTCAATTACCAATGTTAGTAATTTAATTTTCTCTGCTAGCCAATACAATAGTTAGAGGTCAGGACCGCTTTTGGGACCAAGACCAGACCAAAAAACATTAATGGACCGGTCTTATTAGGACCGGGCAGACTGGACCGAACTGATCCATCCCTATGTTTAGATTACTTGTAATAGTTAGAGAAATTGTATAATTTTAAAAGCTGGGCAGATAGTTAAATATAAAAACATTTATATGATGTATATTTACAAATATAAATTAACTATAACAATAATAATTCTATGATATAATAGTAGGTATTATATTAGATGTCTATAGAGTATATACTATCGATTAACTTTGTATATACGATTAACAAACAAGACTCATTGATAAGAGAAGGAATTAGCATGTAGAATTATAATTTCAAATAAATATACAATTAGAATACTATATATAGTAAAATTTTTAGAAATACTATTGCCATAATATTTTAGAATTATTATTATCGTTATACGTATATCGATATCGATATTAATTTTGCTTAAAAGAATCTTAGCCAATCACATATAATAAAGATCATCTAACATGATAGCCAATAAAAATGAATTTCAATTATACTTAACTAATATTATATTATACGTACAAATAAAATAATTGCCTTCAAGTGAATATATAATACTATATATATTGAATTATAATTTTGATGGTCAATAAAATTAGTATTTTTAGTATATACAAATGTGCATATTATATTTTTTAAAATAACTATTATTTATAGCGCGTGGGGACTGGAAGATGATCTATCAGTTTGTTTGCATCTAATTCTTTAGTATAAAGATTTATAATATTTTGAATTTGCGTACTAGTTAAACTAGAAATGGCATCGACACTATATGAAATTTACTCAATTTTATCTATTCCTACTCCTTTGAAGAATGTGTTGATAATTTTAGCCTTTTGAGTCATCTTACACAAATACTCTCTTGATTCCAGGTAGATATTTTATCATTTCATCGTAGATTTGTGTTCTTGCCATTTGATCACTAATATTTTTTTTCGAACTAAGATTTGAAACCTTTTTTCATATTCCTCACTATAATAAGACCAATGTAATTTTTCCTTTCGTCCAGTTTTTTCGGCCTTGCCAAATAAATGAGCTAAATGAGGTACGGACCCTGGAGTTAGATCTATATCAACAGGAATATCCGAAATTGGTTTAATCAACATAGATTTCGGGGGGAGTTGTCTTTATATCTCGTAAGGACTTGGTATCAATGCTTCTAATAAGTTCAAATAACTCGCGTATTAATCCTTGTTCTACTTTCTGATTGTAGGGAGTTTTTATTTTGGAAGAAACGGTTGTAGAATTCTCACAAAGTAAGGCATTTTGTGTTTCAGAAGAGGAATTGGTTCTTGGTCCCGAAAAGCAGGTTCTTCATTATTTTGTAATAGTTTCTTTTACCTGTTCTTCTTTATCATCATATCGCTAACCTTTTCCTTTTCTTTCTGATCCAGAAAACCATCCAATTTTTTATCCTCTGACGATTTAGACTTCGCGCATATAGGTGGAGTCTTATTACTTTGCAATGATATTAACATGTTAGTCTCTTGATATATATCAGAATTTGAAGTGTTATCAATATCAGGAATGTCAGTGGCATAGCCACGATCACATCGTAAGTCTATCTGTTTAGGTGTACAGTCTTCCTCCTCTATAATCACGCAGTTTGTATCAAGAAAATTAGTGATTATAAAAGAGTGTGATTATATAGAAGTATTTTTTTATAAGTTTATTAATAAATCGTCTCAAAATTTAATGTGATTGCACAGGAGTTGTGATTATATAGGAGGTGATTATAGAGGAGGAAGACTGTATTTGGAATTTTCTATTTTGGTAGAGGTGATATTAGCCGAAGATTGATCGATTTCCGTATCATTATTTGATTTAACATTAGAATTACATTTTTTCTTCGTTGTTTTGAGACTGGTTTTGCTCTAATTTCGCAACTCTAGCTTTAAGTTCAGCGTTTTTTTTTTACTATTTGTTCTATTTTGGTTTTCAGTTCAAAATCTTTTAACTTTGAACCCTCTGCATTTTCTTTTGCGGATTGTTGTAATTCTATTATTCTAGCCTTAAGCACTGCTTCCTTAGTTTTGAATTCAGCCTTTTCTTTCATAAGTTTATCAATCTCGGCCTGAAGCTTGGAATTTAATTCTCGTAATAACTTATTTTCAGATAAGTCTTTTGGGTTCATTTTTTTGAGTTTGCATATTTAACATTAATTTATACAACTTTGACACGAATGTTTGAAAAATTATTTTTATTGTACACATCTTGATGTTTTTTGTTATTTAATACCTTTAATTTCAATTAAAAAATATGTATACACGAAGAATTCTTCACGCCGATTTTGCAAAAAAAATCGTAGGCCACGTGCGCGTAAAGAATTCTTCACGCCGATCACTTTGGCAAGAAAATTTTTAAAAATTCTCAATTATATAATATCAATCAACCACCAGGGCCAGCTTTATTAATACTGCAAAAAATAGTGTAAAGTACATTTTATTTAGCATTTACTCAGATCTAATAAACTCGAATTTGCATCGACCACAAATAGAAGATTAAAATAGGTCATTATACAATTTCACTGATACAATATTTTATACATGAATTTAGCGAAAAAATCTTTATTAATAGAAAAGAAAAAAAGAGCAAAAAAAAGAGCAAAAAAGAAAAGAAAAAAAAAAGAAAAAAAAAGAACGAAAAAAAGAGAAAAATATAATATTTACAATCGGATGAAAGATCAGAACATGATAGTATCGTCAATTAAATAAAAACATATGAAGTAAAAATACATAAATTTTTTTAAATTTTTTTTTCTAGCTCCTTCAGCTGGCTTTCTAAATTTTCAATTATCGACTCCAGGGTTTTAACCTTCTCGATACGAAATAAGAAAAAAACTTACAGAAAAAGAAATAAAAAATAATTTATAATTTAACTTAAATTTTTTACATCTATCTTCCAAAAATCTACGTCTATCTTCTAAGAATCTACATCTATCTTCTAAGACACGAAATCTTTGGCTTAATCGACCAGCGATTAAGTTCTCGATATTTCGGCACATATCTCTATAAGTGGTGACGATAATATCATGTTCTGAAATTTCAGCCGAGTTATAAGCCTCATCCGAAATTTTTTCTTCTATAACTCCAAAATCAAATCTGCTATCACTCACTACCGATCTAAATTCGTCGACTTCTTTACGAGCTATAAATAAATTATTTAATTATTATATAATAATTTTGCATTTTAATTAATAATCAAACATACATATATATTTGGCAAACCAAACTTTGCATTGGGATAACCCACAAATTATGTCCCAACCTTTATCATTTGGTACTCTAAATTGATAATTAAAATGAGTATATATTTCATAGTCACATATAGCTGGCGCCAGCATGTATCTTATTCATCATTAATCTTCGCGCCAAAAGGCCCACGAAGACACATATAACTGAGAAGAACGTTCAATGTCAAAACATTGGCCACGATGTGCTTT